AAAAAAAAAAAAAAAAAAAAAAAAAACCACAAAATCACGTACACAAAAATAGGAGTCAACTGTAATACTGTTTAGAAAATTGCTTTGTTACCAGTATATCACATTTTCCCATAAAACTGAATATTTTTTTGAAAAATTTATTTGAGTGATCAGGTAATATTTCCTCACATAAATGTAGCATATTTTATTTAAATAAATTTTGATCATTGGGTATACAGAGATCTCCTATTTTTTTACTTTTATAACTTAAGAAGCAACATACTCCCTTTTATATAAATATTTTACACATCTCTGACCTTAGCTGGGGTTAATTTACTTCAAGTGGAATTACAGTTTAAAGGGTCTGAATGTTTCCCAGGGTTTAGATGCCCTCCAGATAATCTGTACTAATGTACATTCTGCCAGCAGTAGAGTGTCTGTTCCCTGAACTCTCACCAATAGGGAACCTTGTCACTTTAATTACATTTTTGACAATTTGATCTGTAAAATAGAGTTTGCTTGTTGTAATTTTCATTTCATTGATTCCTAGTATAGTTGAAATTTAATTAGTTTTCTTAGTTACAAAAGCAATAAGTGATCATTGTAAAATGTACAAACATTAAAAGCTTTAAGCTAAAATACTCAACTTTTAAAACTGTATCACAAATTTGATTTTTTTAGTAGACTTTATTTTTTAGAGCAGTTTTAGGTTCACAGGAAAATTGAGTGGAAGGTACAGAGAGATTCCCCATTTACCCTTTGCCCCCCACCCCATGCATAGCCACCACCGTCATTCACCACCCCCACCAGAGTGGAGCATCTGTTACAATTGATGAACCTGCATGGACACGTCAGCATCCCCCAGAGTCCATAGTTTACATTATGGTTCACTCTTGGTGTTGTACAGCCTATGGATTTGGACAAACGTATAATGGCATGTGTCCACATTCTAGTATCATACAGAGTAGAATACTCGACTTTTAAGTAAACATTTTCTATGATCTGACACTCCTACATTAATCATAGTTTAATAATATGAAGTATCCTCTTTCAGAGGTCTTTTTCTCCAAAAGAGGCTGTCTGGGTTTTCCCTTCCGGACCCAAAGGAGTTTATTAAGCCTATTGTTCTTAACAGACAAGTTTAACCTCAAGAAGAACACTGGTGCCAGTTATCATCATAGTAATTTGTATACTCAACTGCATTTTCTATTTTTGCTTCAGATATTATTTCTTTTAATAGATGCATGTTATTCAAATAGTTGAAGTTTCTATCCCCATCCTGTTCTACTCCATATAGGCATGTCCAGATCTATGGAGGATTCTATTATATGAATATGGCATGATTTATCCATTTTCCCATGTATGGACATTTAGGTCTTTTCTCATCTTCCCTTTTACAAGTGAACATATCCTATATGGGCAATGTTCTGTGGGATCTATTCTGAATTAGTGAAACGTAGGAATGTAGGGCATAAACATCATCAGCTTCACTAGAAGAAGCAGATTGTCTTCCAGGGAAACTGTCCCATGTACAATACCCCCCAACACCCTACACACACACACACACACACACACACACACACACACACACACACACACCACATACACACAGAAGTGTCGTCTTTTCTCCATATCTTCAGCATTGGCTATTGTCCTATTTTTTCTTCTACAAAGCTTCTAGTTTTACTTTTCAAACTTACTTCATTGGTCTATCTGCAATTTGTCATGGGGTATACATTTAACTTTATTTTCCCATATGATGGGTAGCTGTTCTAGTACCAACACTGCATCATCGTGTATTTCCACCATGACTGTTTTGTCATAGAGTTTGATAAAATCCTAGAAGAACAAATATACCTGTCTTGGCTTCCAAGCCCTTTGCTCTGTTTCCTTGGACTATTTGCTCACCTCTGTGAGGCTATCACCCTGTTCTAATTAATTGCTTAATGTTATGAAGTTGGGAGAAATGGTCAGTCTCCCCTACCCACCCCACACCTCACTCTTCCTTCCTCAGAACATCTCTATTCTTAACCCTGTACCCTTCCATACGAATTTTATGATAAAACCTAATGTCGTTTCATTAACAACCTTATGGGATTTCTACTGGAATTACATAGGATTCACATGTTAATTTGGAGGTAATTGATGTGGCTATAAGCCATCTTCTGACTTGTAAACACAGAATGCATTTTCTATTATTTAACTATTTTTAAATTGTGTTATAATTTTCTCAGTAAAAGTCATGCTCATCTTATGCTAGATTTATTCTCAGATTGTATATTTTTCTGTGTTTTTGGCAGAAACTTTTGTAACTACATTTTCTAATTCATGGTTGGCAAAAATAATAACTGTGTTTCTTTCTTTCTTATCTCTTTATGTATATTTTTTAGTTTGGAATTGTTTTTGTGTGTGGAAAGAGGGAATCTTTTCTCCTGATCTTAGTATACTTGCTAGGTTTTCAGTACAATGTTAATATTAAATTAATGATAAATTAAATATTAGAAACTATAATAATATTTTCTTGCTCTTCACTTCAAAATAAATGCTTCTAATGTTTCACCACTCAAATAGGATGATTTCTAACTGTTTTGTTGATGCCTTTTATTAAGTTAAGAATGTTCCCTTTTCTTATTAGTTGGCTAAGAGCTGCTATTCGATCACGTATGAGTGTTAAATTTAATTGAGTGTTTTTCTGCATCTACTTAGATGAGCATATGGTTTCTTCATAAATCTGGCAACATAGTGAATTATGCTAATAGGTTTTCACATATTAAGTTATCCGTGCCCCCCACCCTTTTTAGTCAGAATGAAATACTTTCTATTCCTTTTGTAGCTTTCATTTTACAATCAGTACTTTTTCATCTTGTGATGATTTAAGAGCCATATAATTTGTTCTTAGTTCTAGTGACTTATTTTGTATCTTTAAATAATATGGATAGAGGCATTAAATGTTTTTCAACTCCAGAAACAATATTTTAAAAATGAAACGATTTCTTGCCTTTCTGCCATGAAAATCAGTATAGCATGCTTCAGCCACTTCTGTCATTAACAAGCACAGGAATTTTAGCCTCTCCATATTACAGAATATTTTAAAATTTTACTTTATAATCTTTTCTTTCAGTATGTTGACTTTTATAGTATTCATAAACATAATTATCATAGATGTTTATCATTAGTCCTATGTTTAAATGCTCACTACTGGCCATAATATCTTCCTTTTGTTCTGAGTTCTTTATTTTTAATCATTTCAAGTATGGCTTACTAGTTTTTCCAGGAGGAGTTCATTGCATTTTTTATTTTTTTATTTTTTTGCAGTACATGGGCCTCTCATTGCTGTGGCCTCTCCCGTTGCGGAGCACAGGCTCCGGACGTGCAGGCTCAGCGGCCATGGCTCACGGGCCCAGCCGCTCCGCGGCATGTGGGATCCTCCCGGACCGGGGCACGAACCCGTGTCCCCTGCATCGGCAGGCGGACCCCCAACCACTGCGGCACCAGGGAAGCCCACTGCATATTTGATAACGACTTTTTATTGACTTTATACAAGAAGAAGAACTTCATTTGGTACAAAAATTAGGGCTCACAATATCTCCTAAAAATTCCATATACTTTGCTTCTGTCATAGTTGTGTTGTGGAGCAGCCTGAGGACAGTGGTGCCTAATTTTTCCTTCTCCTTTAGGCTAACTATATATTCCCTGTGTGAAAGCTTGTGGTTTTCTTTCTCCATCTCTAGAGTTAAATCATTTTACCAGGATGTGTTTCAGGATCTATTTTCTCTATTAAAATTTTCCAGGAATATGGTATGGTCTGTCAAGCAGCAGATTGAGTTCTTCCCTCACTTTGAGAATGATTTCTTCTGTGATGCCTCTAATAAGTAGTATTGTGTGTGTGTGGTATGTGCATGTGGTGTGTATGTGTATGTGTTTAATGCACTTAATATAATGATAAAGAACCATATGGGAATCACATAAGTATCCTGGGCCAAAGTGATGTTATTCCAAGGGAGGGACTCCTGTTGGCTTCCTCCTGCCCTTTCAGAGCACCCCCAAGATGGAGGAGCCTACAGGATCTCCAAGGAAATGTGAACCATCCCTCAAGTCTTTTCACGCAATCCAATTGCCCTCCAAAAATAAAAGCAACACATGGACTCCCTCATACATGAAGAACTCAGGAGCTACCGCATCAGGGAGCTACTCCTGGAAAACCCAGCTAACCAAACAATACATCCTAAAAAGATCAAGATGGAAACGCTCTGGAATATTAACTCGTGGCAAACAGTGCACATGTTCAGAGGCAGAGTTGGAACCAAGCATTTCTGGGAATTATCGTTACCAAATAAATCATGGAAACCATAAAACCTTAAAATGCACAAATAAAGCTACTGAAACCTAGTGGGAAGTGAGAGGCAGGGTGGAGGGAGTGGAGATGCAATCATTCCATCATCTTTTATAGTGAATTAATAGAAACTGTGAAAAATTGAAACCTGCAACTAAAACCAAGCAGAGATTCTATTAACTGTTTATCATCATTTTCTCCTTAACTTTCTAGGAGGCTTTTAGGAACCAATTCTTTTTCTCACGGTGAAGAGGCAAAGAAGACCCTGTTTGAAATTTATCAGTTAAATTTAGTGCATGTTTGATAAATTTATAATAAGATCCAATTTTATAAAAGTATTTCTCTCCATCTGTCTATTACTATTCTTGTCTATCCATCGTGACATTTCTAGACTAATGTTCAACAAATCTCATTTTTTTCTTTCATAAATGTTTCATATTGTTTGCATTATCTATATAAAGACATATATCTTTTTGGTTTCAAAACACTAAAGTCATTTTTCCCCAAACTTAGTAAAAAGTAAAAATCTCCTTCCCTCTCCCAACAACTAACTCCCATCCTCCCCAGCAAAGATTTAATCACTGTCATCATTTTCTCATCTTTCTTCCCAGAAGAATTTTAATCTACAGCTGTTCTGTTTACACGATAGTATCATACTATACATGTTGGTCTGTAACTTGCTTGTCCCCCAAGGACTAACTTGTCAATGTTCCAATTGTTTTCTCTCTGCCTTAACATGTCAGCTTTCTTATATGGAAAGTTCTACAGTCCCGTAGGTATTTCAGTCTATTTCTGGCTTATGGATTCAGCTCAATGACTGTCTATCCATGCTTCAATGCAGGGTATTCTAATTTTTCTGGAATAACTAAACATTTTCATATCTGGGAAAGATGGCCATCATCACTCTTCTTTTTCCACAAGCCCCTTAATCATTCTCATACACTATTTTTCCCATGTGTGATTTAACATCATGCTGTGAAATTCCAAAGCATCCTGGTAGTAGTTTATTTCATGTTTCATGGACTATAGAACCTAGTTTAGGGTAATTTCTTTCGTTACATGCTGGAGTCTCCCATCCCAAGGATAAGCTATGTTATTTCTTTTACTCTTAGAAAAAGTCCCTCCATAGAGTTTCTCTCTCAGCAGAGTAATCTACTTTCCTCCTAAGGGTCCTGCAATTGTCTTAGAAATTTCATCCCTAGATATTCAATTGCTATTGCTATTGTAAATGAGAGTGGTCTCTGTTGTATTTTCTCAACGTGTGTTTTTCAAGTAAGGAGAAGCTACTGATTTCTGCATATTAATTTAAAAACCACACAGCTCACTGAATTCTCCTACCCTTTCTAGTTATTTCTTCAGTTGATTATTCTGTGTTTTTAGCTATGCAATTATATCATTGTCAAGCGATCTGTTATCTAATCGCATTGGCTGGTATTTCCAAAACAACGTTAAATAATAATAGTGGCCAAAGGCATTTCACTCTCCCGACTTCAATTTGAATGGCTTTATGTGTCACCGTTAAGCATGACAAGGATTTTTTGCTTTGAGATTTTAAAGCACATATGAAAGAACTACAGTGCATTCTTGTATAAAAGGATTATAAGTTTAGTATGTATGCATGCAAATTAATTCCATTATATTCAATTTTATGGGATGAGTTCTTTGCTATTTATTGAATCGATCATGTTATTTTCTTCCTTTGACTTATTAAATGTTGAATTAATTAATAGATTTACATGCTGGGGTGGTTGTGGTTGATGTGCTGTTTTTTAAATCCTTGCAGAGGGGAGTTGACACCTGCCCAGTGTTGAGATAGAGGTGGATTCTGAAGTTAGTGTTTAGGTCTCAGAGAGGTTTGTTCAAGGTTAGGATGGAAGAAAAGGGGAAATTTTTAATTGCTTGTCACTAGTTACTCATCTGTGCAGAAGGAATGTTTAGGATGTGGGGAGTTGATATGCAGAGGTGGACCAAGGCGTCAGGAGATGCCTGGGTACCTTGGATGCTACGGTGTTTTTTGTCTTTCCCGTGTATTTGTCAGAGGCAGCCCTGGTTTGTTTCGTTTGCTTGTTTGCCTTTGCCAGCATAGCCATCACGCACGAGTGTCTCAGAGGAATCTGCCTTTGGCACGGTCCCTGGCATCAGACCTCTGCCTGCCCAGCTCTGCCTCGATCACCCAGGTTAGGGGTAGTCACAGGGACCTTCTGGCGTGCCTGCCTTCCTTCTCAGGTGAGTTGGCTAATGTGGAAGTCACGCATGTGTGCTTCCCTGTCCTTTACTCCATTCCCTTCTGCACCAGTTTGAACAGAAACACATCAGCCTTTACAGAGGGGCACCCTCCATGGTTCCCAAGGCCACTGTGTTTTTCTCCAAGTTCATATCTCATTGGTCACTCAATGGCCATCTTCAAGAGAGGGCAGTAGAGAAGTAATCCCTGGCCAGTGGCTTGCTCAAAAGATTCCCAGTCCTTTAAAAAGATACACACGTATGCACACATACGCACACGTACACGTGCGCACACACACACACCCACACCCCTGTACGCTGTACGTTTATAGACAAAACCTCCTTGACCAAAGTTTGAAATTCAGGCGAGCAAGGAGAGAACTAGAGGGAGTCAGAGGTCATGGGCATGTAGCATGGGGCAACCCGCTAGAATGGAAAGCTAGGCTCTGGCCATTCCTTTAGAGACAGGAGGCTGGTCTTGGGGGGAGATGTCTGTGGCCCGGGGAACCTGCTCTAAGAGTTTTGCAGCCTGACACATCCCCATTTCAGGATCCGCAGTATCTCACCTCATGTCTTGCACAGAGATAGGCATCCTCATTTCCCCTCTATTTAATCATCTCAGGGTCAGATGCTGGGTGTCCCAGGCTCACAGTCAAAGAACCTGATAAATGAACCTTCCCTAAAAAGAGAGGGTCTGGCTAATTTAGCCCCTGTTCCTTACCTGTTGGGTGCATTGCAGAGGGAGACCATAACAACGTAGCAACCAAGACCATGGCTTATCTGTCTGTATTTTGTTGTCTCTATTTTCAAGACACTGTCACATAAATCACTGTAGTTTATCTTCATATGTGCACAGGGTTCAAAGGACATTGCTCCTGTTTTTCAGGTAAAAATCTGGAGCTGCCAGGAGGTCAGAAGCTGGTTCCCACTAACTTGTGCATAGGGGCTGGAGCTCCCTGGGGACCACGAGCTTTCCACCTTACGTCTGCCCGAGAGGGGGAGGAACCAGTGAACAGATTAAAATCTTGAATATTTAAGCATATTCCTTGAGACTGACCTTTGCCACACCCAGGTGGAAATGAGTAGCAGACATCTTTCCACAGAACTCACCTCTCTCTCCTCTGAGCCCTGGCTTTCAGGAAACGGGAGGGGAGTTCAAGGAAATCAGATCTAAAGAAACGCCGAGAGTCCATAAAGAATAATTATAACCTTGAGCCACAAGGAAGAGGAAATGGACTCAGGAGTCTGATAGATAGGATTTGATTAACTCGTTAACCTTGCCGGCCTATCTATAAAATGAAAAGCCAGACCTTTTGGTCCAGCAGTGACCGTTACACGCTGGGACCCAGCAATCAGACAGAGCTCAGAGGGATGTGTTTATACAAAGAAAGAAAATGCAGTTACAACAGTGTGTGCTTTCCAGGTCTTTATTCCTGGGAGAACATTTGCTGGAAGGGGATTATCTTGAAATATGAAGCTAGTGATATTTCATCCATAGTCACCCTGGAGATAAAAGACCTTGTGCTTTAAAAGAAAGTATCAAGAAATATGCAGTAACATGTATTTCTTCCTTTCCTGGGAAGATTAACTCATGTGTGGGGAATATAATTTTCAGCCTGGAAATTGGTGATGTCCGGCCACCTCTCCCACAGCCCACCACCCAGGCTCAGAGAGGCAGGGACCACAGGGTGCGTTTCTAGACAAGTGACCACTGCCCACCCCTCACCCAAAGCCCAGGCCTTTGCCGCAGCAGATAGGAATGGAGCGACACAGACTTGGGGGAGCGGGGCCTCAGCTCTCAGTAACTTTAACGAGGATGTGGTTCTTTTAAACTCAACAGTCCATTGAGTTATTGCACCTTTGCTGATCCAACAGGCAGAACATGGGCCCAGGAGGGAGTCTGGGGTCTCTGGCTCCAGAGAGAGGAATTCCAGCTGCAAGGGGGCTCAAACATCTGAGGTTCCCACAGGGAGGATGGGCACCAGCCGGGACCCAGATACCTCCGGCAGCGATGCTGGAAATGGCCTCGTGGGTCACTTCAGCTCTAAATCTCCCAATGGTTATGCATCTCTCAGAGCAAATCCCAAGTCCTTGCAATGACTCCATGGCCTGTTCCCTCATGGAGCAAGACCCTTCTCACCTAGAGGCTTACCCTGGTCCCATCCTCACTCCCTCCAGAACCCAGGTCAGGGCGTTTGTGCGACATTCTCTTTTCCCAGGGGGCCACAGGGGAGGTTCTCATCCCCTGCAAATCTTTGTCCCATTACCTTCTCAACGAGGCCGGCCAGGTCTACTGTGTTTGGGCTGATTCTCCTCACTTTGCTCTGTTTTTTCCATCACACGTCGCCTCGCAGCTAACGAAAATTATTTTCTATTTTTAAAAATTTCATTTATTTACGGTGTTTATGATTTGCTTTCCCATAGAATGCAAGCGCCCCAAGGCCAGGGGGTTGTGTCTGTTTTCTCACTGTGTATTCCAAGCACTGAGAAGAATGAATCAGCAAGTTAGGGCAAATTTTCAAGCGCAGTCAATGGTAGCCTGGTCCCATCAAATGCGGCATCTCGAGCGGGTGGTGCATCCCCTTCCCTTCCTTTTCAAGACAGTAGCACGGAGGCAGGCAGTATGTATGGGACAAAATGCCTTGAAATCGTGCCGTTGTCCTGGCTTTACTTCACCATCTGATCTATGCACCAACAGAAACGTGTATGCAATCTCTGTGCTGAAGTTTTCTGTCCAGGAACCTCAAAATAGTAGGTGATCGTCCATGATTTACAATATGGCACGAGGCCCAACAAGAGTGACGTTCCTGCTGCCTTAACCCCAAATTTCCTGGCTCAAATCAGGTCATGCAGACCATGGCTATTGTTCTAACACAATTACTAGCATATAAATATTTGTAAAGTGTTTCATTCAAATGTTTTTCCCCAAAAAACAGGGTGGAAGGGCAACCACATGCCACTGGATCTTAAGGACACTGTTGTTCTCGCCCTTCCGATCTTTGATCAGGAGCTCACTTGGAGGGTGCAAACGTCATTTTCTCTGCTTGTCTTTCTTTCTTTACTCACTTGGGGGAATGCATTTATTTATTTTTGTCGTAGTTAGCGGGGAAGTTACATAAAGACATAGGAATTTCAAGACTGAAAAAGAAAACCTATGCAACTGAAGCTAACAAGTTCAGTGCTGATGGCGCGGTCTGATTTATCTGGAAGACTGAACCGAAGGGTAAACCACAGCCCTGTAGAGTCAATGATAACCTCAGGTTAACATAATACAAACCATACAAATTATTTTATCCAATGCAATTTGAATTAACCTTTGTGTGCCTAGTGCTAAAGACCAAATCTGAGGTGGTTTTCTGGGAAAGGCTTTCAGAAGTTGTGTGCTGCCCGAATGTCCTCATCGTCTCTGCGCTCGGAAGAGATCGCCTGCCTACTGAGAAGTCTGAAGCTCTTTCAAATCATTGTCGTGCAGTGCAACCTAGCACTAAGCCATTCAGCAAATTGAAAAATGTTTTTCATAAAATAGAAAATGGATCTGTTCTCTCTATGGCAAAACTTTCTATTTCACTTCAGGTGGATTTCAAGAAATTTGGTTGAAAGTTTCAAGGAAAAATGAATCAAATGACCGGAGTGTCGAGGTCTTCACAATAAGTTTGATTATTTTTCTTGGTAAATTAACAGGCTGTTAGGATGCTGTGTTAGTTTAGTGTGTGGCAGTATGGACCAAGACCCTGAAAGAGGCGATGTTCTTTGACTCCCATAGTCTCACCTCTAAAAATGTGTCCTGTAAAAGAATAAAAAATAGGGCCTAGATTTTGGTACAAGCATGCCTTTTTAGTGAGAAAAAGAACAATCTAAATGACCAATGGTGGAAGAATGGCCAGATAATTTATGGTACACGCAGAATACTGAATACTACGAATCTATAAAAATTATGTTCTCATAAAATTTCAAGGTCATAGAGAACATCTAAAAAACACAAAGGGAGAATGTTCAAAACGTTGGCACGGACTTCCCTGGTGGTGCAGTGGTTGAGAGTCCGCCTGCCGATGCAGGGGACACGGGTTCGTGTTCCGGTCCGGGAAGATCCCATATGCCGCGGAGTGGCTGGGCCTGTGAGCCGTGGTCGCTGAGCCTGCGCGTCTGGAGCCTGTGCTCCGCAACGGGAGAGGCCACAACAGTGAGAGGCCCGCGTACTGCAAAAAAAAAAAAATGTTATCAGAAGTTATGTCTGAATTGTGTGCTTATAGGTGTTTGCATTTCATTTTTCATACTTTTCTATATATTTCCTTTTTTAAAACCTAGCTTCATATATTACTTTATTCTCTGCAGAAATAATGAATGCTATCTTAAAATAGACATAGCCTTTAGTAACAAGCTAATGATGGATTACCCACACGATTTTGTTAAATGTGATATCTGGGACCCATGTCAATAAGTAACTACCAGCGTCC